CAAAGTAAAGCAAAACCAAAGCAATTAGGGAACACGTTGCACATTATTGAAAATTGCTCGTGCATTTCATCGTTAGATAAAAGATGCATTGTGTGTTTTCCACGTGAACAGATCACACATTGGCTGGCCCTACCCCCGAAATGAGAATTTTGAGAAACGAATCAGTTTGAATGGTAGACAAGAAAGCTTTACTATCCAGTATGGGAGCAGGTCTGTTTGTTTGAGTCTCTATTTCATTATTGCATACCAGAAAAGATTTTTGCGTCATCATGGATGTGCATCTCCTTCGGTGACCTCATCCCATGAACCAGAACCTCATTGAGAGAGGAAGTAATGTTGAATTTGTTTATATTCTTCCTTTCCAAGTCTGACCAGTAAATAATGTTGTCAGATAAGGCCAGTGCAAATGGGTGCCGAATATAAGATGACAAGTCCAGTAAAACGACTCGGTTATTCCCTTGAAAGTCTACCCTTTCGATCTTATCGAGAGTTGCATCGCACCAGTACAACAGTTTTCCAGAGTAGTCTATGGCTAGTGAGTTAACCCCTACAAGTTCAGAACTAACAAGAACCGCCCTGGAAGAGCCGTCCATGTTCGCTTGTTCAATCTTTGGAGAAGATCCGCGATCACTCCAAAACATCTTCCTAGAAATAATAAATCATGATCGTGACTTAAAAAGAAGTAAATAATTTAGAATATCTAACACCAAATATTCGCACAACCCTGCGTCAAACTATCTGATGTGTTGGCGACTGTTTTGCAAAGGTAGCACTGTTTTCTTTGAAATATCAGAGGATTAGCATAGAGTCCTTAGTACATAAATTTGCAGAGACAATATTTACTATTATAGAACTTTTTTTCAAATAAATTTAGCACTTTTCCAAAGCCCACTGATTTTTTTCCTTTTTCTTTTGAAACAGTAGAGCATCTGTCCTTGATGAGCACAATCATTAAGCTAGTTTAATTAATTCCATTCATCCGTTTCGCTCCTTCTCCTTTTTCTGTCTCACGAGTTTCTCTACCCGTCCAGCTAAGAATTGGAACACCTTTGGCGAAAACCGCTTCTATAACTCTTCGATACAAACCTTTTCGTTCTGTGACAATCCTCGTGCAACTTCAAATCTATAGTTTGCATTCGAGCAACTCGTCAGAATAAAAACGTTATGTTGCAAAAACAGGCGTAGCAATTACTCAAGGCCAATTATCCCCGAAATTTGTTTCATGGTGTGTGTAGGTTTTAAAGATCACTTCATCGCTTTTGACAAGAAAACAATTAGTGGCAACTAATGCGTAGATAACGACGCGTAATCAAAATAAAACTACCTATAGTTACCTTTCTGCTATATTGAGTATTATGGCTCTTGGACTTTCGATTCCTGATGTTATAAGACTTCTTCTAGATGATCCATCTAAGCGTGCTACCTCGATTTTGCGGGTTCCCGCATCTGTCCAGTATAGATTCCGTTCAATATAATCGACTGCCAGCCCCTCAGGCCCCTCAACTTTGTTGTATGCGACGACCTCAACGGAAGATCCGTTAGGAAAAGCTCTTGCCACTAATTTCAGGGCGACATCTGTCCAGTATATTTTTCTATCGAGTGGATCGTAGTCGACCGCCACGGGCGAAGAGATGTTTGTTTTGATTTGCAGAGGTTTGCAAGGGCTCTCTGATACTGAGATTGCAACGCTGTATATTTCTCGAGTATCAGCTTCAGGAAAGACCATGAATTTTTCTAAATTCGCTTTTTCAAAACCATCTTGAACAAAAAGGAGATAGAGCAGTCGTATAAATGCATACTTTCTCAAGAATAAGCGACAAATGAACACTATTACAAAATTAAAGATTAAATAGAAAAAAAGTTCCTTATAGGGAAATGTGCAACTTTGGTTACTTTCCACTTTATTCCAAAATGTATTCCTGGCCGAGGATGCTACTCTCGCGTGTTCTAGTTATTATGATACTTGTATGGCCAGCATTAAAAAGCACTTGGCAAAGTTAAAAGGGAAAATATGACTTGCGTCCTCACCATTATCACAACTTCTCCCATCAGGCTTCAGCACAATCCCTGTTGGGCATGTGCATTTGTATCCTCCTGGCTTCAGTAGACAGAAGTCGCTGCATAACCCATTGTTTTGAGCACATGCGTGAGGACCTAACGGCGGTAACAAGTCAGAACATGAATTTTATAATCTTATAAACATCTCTAATTATTTGTACTAACTTCAGACTTTCATCTCTCCTGTATTTTATGAATTTGTGGCTTGAAAATCTTAAGATGGAGCAGCGCTTGAAACGTTCTCCTATTTGCTTTCTTTTTCCTTAGGTCTAATATTTCTAATGCTAGAGAGTTTCAAGTCCATCCAAGTTTTGACATTGAAAGGGACTGTGAACTTCAATTGTAAAGCTTTAAATTGAAATACTAATAATCTGAGTAATTACCTGTAAATGACAAAGATGGATCATAAACGTGAATGTCCATCGGTTGCTGGAGGTCAGGAATCACCGTTTCATGTTTCGCACTGGTTAAATTGTAACGTAGAATGCTTTTCTTATTCCAATCAGTCCAGTAAAGCACATTTTCATAAAACGCTAAACCAAAGGGATGTATTTGATCTGCAGATGATAACAGAACCTGTCTACTCGCTCCATTAAGGTCGGTCATCTCTATAGTGTCCAATTTAGCGTCAACCCAGTATAGACGGTTTGTAGCCTGGTCGATGGTCAGTCCATTTGGCCAGGCTAGATTTCCTGTAACAATGGATTGTCTCCCTGAGCCATCCATCTCGGCTTTCTCAATCTTTGGATTGACTCCCCAGTCAGTCCAGTACATCATGCTGAAAGCAAACAAAGATAAGAGAAGTTGGTTCCCTTGGAGTCTTTTTGAACGCAATTTGTTTGCCTATTGTTATGGATCAGAACAAAAGGAGCTATCAAAAACTCGGAGTAAACTTAGAAAAATGGACTGAGGCTATCAAAGTTAGGATAAAAAGGGTGAAAGAAAAAAGGCAATTCCTGGACATACTGGACATACATAGCAAAACTGCTTTCAATCACTAACCCATTTCTTTCATCAAGTATTATGGCCCTCGGCTCATCGAGTGCATCCTTGAATAAGACCTTCCTTTTTGTTCCATCAAGACGACCCAATTCAATCCTGTCTGTCCCAGTATCTGTCCAATAAATGTTTCGACCCACGTGGTCAATAGCTAAGCCATCAGGATTAAGGACGTTACAAAAATACAAAGTTTTTGCTGAAGATGCGTTTCTGAAGGCGCTCATGATGCGCCCTTGTCTTACGTCAGTCCAGTAAACGCGATCTTCAAGAGGGTCAAAGTCCAAAGCAATAGGACGATGATCTCCAAGGTGCACGAACAAGGTTTTGGATACTAAATAGTTGACATCCAATGAAATGATGTTCGTCGATTTCTCGTTGGCATCCGTATATAGAAAAAACTTATTTTCTTCTGTAATGAAAGTTAATGAAGAATGTTTATTAGAAATACGCAACAAAAGTGATGATACAGAACTCAAGCACGAGAGCCAAAGACTTACTTTCTTCACACGTTTTTCCATTCTGTTTTACTGCCAAGCCTGTTGGACAAATGCACTCATGACCAGAGGCTTTTGGAACGCAAAAATGACTGCATCCTCCATTGTTTACGGAACATGGACTTGACGCTTGCAAAGACAAAATAGGTTTTCATCGTTAGAAAAGATAAAATACTAGGAGAGGACTTTAAACGTTTAATTCACGTCATTATCTTGTCAAAAGTATAAACATTTATGAAGGAATCCAGTTGTAAGAGACTAAATAAGAAAATAGAATAAATGATTAAAATACTGTTAATGATGTGGTGAAATGTTTTTGTGCAGTGTTGCATAAGGAGTTTGGAACGAAGGAAGTCTATCTGATTACTTAACTCAAGATAAAATTCCATTATGGACTTGACAAACCCCTTGGTATTCGCATGCATAGGACTTAACTGACCTGATGGTTGTCGGGAGCCATCGTAAACTACGACGCCCATTGGCTTTCCACCATTGATAGTGTAGCTTCGAAACACTTCTCCAGTCAGGGCGTCTAGTTTATGAACCTCTCTGTTTGTATTCCAGTCGGTAAAAAACAAGAAGGGTGGAACCAAAGTAACCCCAAATGGATGTAAACCACTCTGTTGGAATAGCAGCTTCCTGTTACCACCGTTGTAATCGATGGATTCTACTCTGTCCAAGGCTGCATCAACCCAGAATATGCGTTGATTTCCTTTGTCTAGGTCAAGACCATTTGGATGATAAAGATTCATTGTAACGATGGCTGACCTTTGTTTTCCACTCGAGGTAGCTCTTTCAATTTTGGGGTTAAGTCCCCAGTCAGTCCAGAACATAAAACTGTTGGACGATTGAAAAGAAAGAAATACAGAGAGGTAATTTTTTAGACTTAGCTCCGTCTGTCCTCTATTCCTTCCTCCCTCCCACCCCACCTTACCAAACAGAAAAAAAAAACAAACAAAAAGAAAGAAAGAAAGAAAAAAAAACAAAACAAAACAGGGACACACGAACAAAACATATAAATAAATCTAGAACAGAAACCAGAAATATAAGATCATGTGTGACATTAGTTAAATCAATCATATAGTGATTTCTATTAGCTATATCTTCCACATCTCAAACTTTAACTCAAGATAAACTTGTCGGTAGAAATCATAGAAGGGTTGAACGGAGAGAACATGAGAAAAGTAATCAGGTTAGTTAATGGAAACTGCGTGTAGCGATTATCCTATTAAACAAGTAACCCTGGAATGTCCCCTTTTAGTACAAAATTTTAAAACTATTTACCAATGGCTCAATTTGTGAACAGACAAACACCTACTTATTGTCAGGATCCAAAGCAATCCCTCTTGGTTTATCGAGACCAGAGGAAACTATTGCAACTTGGTTATTGCCATCTAGGTCTGATACGGATATGGTATTATATGTTGTATCTGTCCAAAATAGCTGGGAAGTCCTCCAGTGCACAGCGAGTCCATCGCAAACTCCAATATTGCTGATAATTGTAGTTTTAGTATCAGTATCGAGGTGAAGACGCTTGATATTGTGTTCGGTGACGTCACTCCAAAATACGTAGCCCAAATTGAAGTGATAGTCGATCGCAACAGCTCTTGTTAGACCCAATACAACTGAGTTAATAGAAGAGGTTTGGATGTTCATGGTAACAATATCCGTTGTGTTAGAAACTAACAAACAGGGAGAACTGCATAGCGAAACTACGGATGAAAAAAGCAATAAATAAGGGACCTGTCATTATTCATCAGTTGGGGAGGAAGAGGGGAGAGGGGAATTTTGGTTCTTTTATGATGAAATTTACCTTATCCTCCGTAAGGCTCTGTAATGTTCTTATACCCCCCACCCCCTGGTAAATTGGCAGTCAATTGTCTTTAGTTCACCCCTTATACTCTGTTATATATTGATATAATAAAAAATAAAAGCAGCCACGATAATGGGTTTTTTGGTTTTAACGTAAATCGGCCACTTGAACGAACTTCAAAGCTAACGTTTCGAGCGTAAGCCCTTCTCCATTCGCTCTGTTGAAGGGCTGATGCTCGAAAGTTCAGCTTTGAAACTTTTTGCTGTGGCCAATTCATATTATCAACTCAGTTGAAAATAACAAATTACCCTGTTATATTCTCCCGCTGACGCAGTACCACAGTTTCCTTCGAAACTTACCCCTTTAATAAATATGGGGGGACAAAAAACATTGGTGGTTAGACTTGAATACCATTGTAGTTAAAGTTAAAACGTAAAACATACATGGAATTATCTTCAGTGGTCTTAAATGTAATTTCCGGAAGGTCGTAAAGTAGTGAGGAAAAAAATCGTGATTTGAAATCTTTTTTGAACGAAATATCTAAATAACTAAGCATTGGATTTGCCTCTTCTGTCATTATAGAATGGAAAGTGAAAATAGAGGTAAATTCATTACCAAAGGAGAGGGTCTCAATGGGGTCAACCGTTAGCCCTAAAACTGCAAAGAAATTAGCCGTCAGGCGTAAAAACTGATAAGGTTTAACTGTGATTCTTAAAAAACTTAACTGTAAAATTTTTTCTTGCAATCGCATCGAAAAGAAATCAACCATTCGCCGTAAAATGGCCCTAATTTTAATGGTTAGCCATAAAAGCCGTTAGCCCATTGAGACCCTCAAGTGAACCACATGCTTGGGAATGGGACCGATTGGTGGAACCTGGCTTTGCAGAGGCCGTGATTTCATTGGCCCATTATTAGGTTTGTGCAGCATGTTTTCAACTTCCGGTGTCGATCACTTGTTCCGTTAACTTCTCGAAACTACAGACCCACTCCTCCCTTTGTGAAGTGACTGTTTACAATTTCCGTTGCGAGTGATAATCTTTCAGAAGTTTTGATCCTAATAGTTTGAAGAGTTATTGTAAGGAATATATATACCAGCCTTCTTTGAGTCTATGAAAAATATTTTAATTCCTCGGATCAGTAAGTGAACCGTGAAAGAACTGGTGTTTATTTATTTACTATTTTCGTGTTCAATGCCTTTGCATAGTCCAGGTAGGATTGACATTTTGATAACCAGAAAGTAACAGTGACCTTAGAAAAGCAACTTTAGGAAATTTAAGAACTCCGATCGAAAGGAAGAACTGCCACGTTGTTTACAGTTCTAGACAGGAGACAAGGAAGATTTAGACATTTGCATATTAACTAATAACAGCCACCTGACAGCTGCAGCTATGGTTAACGTAAATTTCGGCTTAGGAAGGTATTTATTTGAATTCCATAAGAGTTTTAACAATGGCTAGTCAGAACTGAATCCATACTGTGGTTGTGAAAAGAGCAGGGAGTTTTCATGGGGTTCCCATGGACTACTACGTGACTGTAAAGCGTCGATTTCCAGCTCTCCTAACTTTGCAGATCTGATCGTATGCAAGGAGTATTTATTTTCCCCTTTATCTTACCTCCGTTTACTCGAGTCCTTTTCGTGTCAAGCAATGTAAGAAAGGATGTCAACATGTAAATCCAACGTAGCACACTCATGTTCTTTAGTTGTTTATAAAGTTCGATCCCTATTTAAACAACACCATAACAACATTAATCATCTAGTATGAAATGAAGAAGTAAGTACAAAATTAGACCGTCAACGGGTACAGATAAATTTACCGAGCTTACAAAAAACAAAGCAGACGTTGAGGATGGAAGGAGAAAACAAAACTCTTTGTAACCTGAACTCTTCTGCTGCGTCAATTACAAGCGATGTGGTAATATTTATGTATGCTTTCAGTTTCCAAACTTAAGGGACTTGCCCCGGTTATACTGAGGTAGGGAACTCTTTGGTCTCACACGTTTGGAATGGTGCTCGATCTGTTCTACTTCGCGTGTAAAGATAACCGATAAAATTTAAGGAAGTAAGTAGCACTACATGGTCGTAAATTATTTTAATAATTTTCAGTTCCATGCCTTACGGGCAGTACGTGCTTTCCCAAATAAGAACCATAACAATGGGTCGCCAAATTTAAACTGGGAAATGCTTAGTAATCATAATTTTTCTGTATAATGAACTGGCAAAAGCGGAGAGAACTGCAGTTGAAGGGCGCTTTAAGGAATCAAATTTTGGATAAGCAAGGCTATTATGCGTAACGTTGCAGTGCCATCGTATAGTATTCCTGCAAATAGCCCGTATCCATTAAAACTCTTTAGACAAATTGCGTGATATTTTATTACAGCCTAAAGGAGATCTGATGTTGTACAAAATAGCTCTTCAAATTACATCGACCCCACGATCTAAATTTGGAGTGGCAAATTTACTGCTTTTCTCTCAAAGGAAGAGACAGAAATTTTTGTGATAAATAGGAGTGATTCTGGGATATGACAATTTGAAGAATAGCATCACGTCGTGACAAACACTTTTATTGTTATGAAAATTATTCAAAGAAATTTTTACCAGTTCCGCACGTAACGGTTCTTCTACTACGTGATACTCTGTGTTTGTCCTGAATTATAATTGCAAATCTATACCTAAGAATTTGGAATACCTGCGTATTTTGATATTTGCGTCTTAAAGTCGCCTTAACTGCACCAGCTGAAAGGTGAAAACATAAATACGTAAGTCTCTATGCATTTAAATTTTAAACTTGTGCCCATACACAATGACTCATTTTTCCTCCACTTAAAATTTTACTTACTTGTTGTTGGAGTTTTTCGATTATTCTATTTCAAAAGAAAGACATTCCTTGATTTACAAGGAACCCTAAGCATGTGCACGAACATGGTCAGACACTCTCGATAGCAAATGAAGTTGCCGCGCAGACTAATTTTGTATGTTTATTTGTATGGCAGCATCTGTCAGGGGGTTTCCCCCAAAGAGAGTTAGGCGTCTGGTCAATCAACAAGTCCCCACTATCATTTCCTTAATTAACTCGCTCTTGCAGGAGAACCATGAATGTTGTTGCGAGCGCTATCCTAATTCTTGGATGCATCGCCTTTGGTGGAAAACAAAATCATGTCGAAGGCTGTGGGGGCTGCGGACCTTGTGAGTAATAATACTCTTTAATATTTTATTATTTTGGTCATGGGTGTCAGTGTGTTGTTATAACAGAACTGCGGAGACATAAGTTAATGTGTAGATACCAAAATTTTGACCATCCCTTTCTTTTGACTTGTATAAAGCTACTAAACGTTGGATATCGATAAGTATTCTGGATAAATAAGCGAAAAAAATCAAGCAAGATCTCGCTTCTCTTGCTGCAGTCCTCGTAACTCGTGAAACGGAAGCATTTTTCTATGATTTATTAAATAATGAACTAGGAAACAGTAGGAGACAGTTGATATGGTGTAAACTTGCCATTGGTAATAAATATAGCACTTGAAAAATCGGTTCCTTGCAGGAATGGATTAGATTATGTGATTTCACAAATTATTCGCGCGATGCAGTTGATGATCGTATTACGAATTAAAGAGGCGCCCTTCAAATATTGTATTTACACAAACAAAGCTCTTAAAAATATGTTAAATCTCTTGTGGAATTCTTTATTTCCCGCTCAATACTCACCAGCTCTCAGAGAACCTTCCATTTGTTCTTAGTTTTTACTAAACGTATTCTATTTCTCACGGAATGTGCTTACGAAGCGTCGGTGATGGTATAAGGCTTTCACTTTCGCTGCAAATCTGAAAAAAAAAAACGTTTTGAGCTCGAAATGAAGACTTTTTATTGATTAGCTACACATTTTGTTGACCTATCCACGTGAGAAAGCTTTGCGAAGTCGAGTACTCAATACAATGCCTTATTAAATCATATGTCTGCTCAGTAGGAATCGAATCGCTAACATGGGAAAAACCCCCACAATTTGCAAAACGAAATGAAACCCCAAGCATTTCCAGACACGGACATAGTCACTTGCCTAACCTCCGTTCTTAAATTTCTGCCCATTTTTTTCCAGTTTACTTGTTATAAATTTGATCGTCTAGGTGTAAAAATTTAGATGGAGGAAATATTTTGTGGTAGTGAATTGTTCAAGGCATGCGTCTGACTTAAAAATAACCATCACGTCATAAGCTATAAACATTCACTTTCAGTTCTCACTGTCGCCTAGGTAGGATCATTTTCCCTTCAAAAGTTTAGCTCAGTAAGTGACAATAAAAACATGGAATGCGGCCACGACTAAGTGTTTGTGTTTTCGTGTATTCTGATGTCTGTTAGCAATCCTCCATCAACAACATCCTGTTTACAAAAAAAGCAAGACTGTCGTGATTTCCGAGAATTAAAGCATCTCGAAAGGGAAGTCAGTCCGAGAGAGTTCACTTGGGATTTGATCAATTTTATTGTCAACGATGACCAACTAACCTGGGAAATATAATAAATACTTATACTCAGGAACGTTCACATGGATATTATGCGCATTATTTGACTTTGTTTTAAATAAAGTCTGCAGTAATCCAGCCTAAGAATAATCTATTTTCTAGGAGCTGCGACGGAAAAGGGTCATTTCCGCTTTTTATGACAATGAATCATCTTCAATAGCCAATCTTAAAATAGACATCGAGAATAACATAGGCACAATTTTTAATGTTAGTAATATAGGCGTAATCTAAACCGATCGCTTGATGTGGTGTCCGATTAGATATTACCGCGAATTCAGCTGCAGAAAAAAAAATTCTAAGTGCAGCCTTTGTTAATTGTTTATGGCGGCTCGTTCATTCAAATGTAAACAGTCACGAAACCCGTCCAGAAGTAAATTATGCTTTTGATCTGATTAGGTCTCGCCTCGACGCTTCCCCTTCCTGTAATCGCTTCCCGAATTTTCGATAATGCTCTTCGGACGCAAGGAAATTGGTTTTTATCTAACATCAATGATGTTAGATAAAGTCATGTGCGTTCAACCGATTAAATTTCGATAGCCCTTGCGTTATCTCGAACAACTAATTACTATGCACACCTAACACAATATGTCAACAAAGCGTGCCTAGTTTTCTCAAATTCTGATTGGTTCCTAAGAAAAATAATGGAAAAACTGGTCCATGGAATATTAGATTGCGTTGAGAAATCTTGGTCACCTTGCGTTCGACGAGCGAAGCAAAATTGTTGAGGCTAGAGGAATTTTCAGATTCGACATTTTTGAAATATATAACACCAAGTTCCGAGAGAAAGTAATTCTTAAGGGTTCTTATCAAGGAAAAGTATATGCACCGGAAACAACGTATATAAAAATCTTATTTCCGCTTTCCAGGTTTCAAGATTGCTAAGGGCCTATTTACACGGTACGACTTTGTCGCATGCGACAAAGTCGTGCCGTGTAAATAGGCCTTAAGAGTATCCTAGCTGCTCGAAAATTGTCTTTAGATGTGCTCAGAGTTCGAATTTGCGGACACTGCTATTCCAAGAAGAACTGGTATCACTTGCATAAACACAATGCAGGGTTCATTGCGAGTTTCAGCGCTGCTTCTTGTACAAAATAATTTCTCATCAAAAATTGCCTTTTTAATTAGCCCCTTATTACTAAAACAGATCGGCGACAGATGGAAAAATAGGAGTCGCGGTGTCCGTAGTCGAAACTTTAGCGCATTGGAAGGCAAATCTCCTTGAGAATCCGTCGGAATCTTGAAATAACGTCACTGCTAGAATTGCATATTTTCCTGTCATGGCGAGGGCAAAAATTAAATGCTTTTAGAACCTTAAAGCGATTACCATAAAAGGCAACATCTGAATCACAATAAGGCATGGCAACGGACAAAAACCTTCGTTTTTCATCCTTCTTCTGAAACTATGAAAAGTGAGCTGCACTAAATCAATTTTGCCCCATTCTTCTCTTACTCAGGGTTCTTCGGAGCGAGTTCGCTTTCAAATTTGACGATTAACTGCTTATTAATAATAAATGATTTTATAGCGTTCTGCTCGATGTATTTTAGCACCAAGACATGGTCAGTGGGGCCCTTGGAACCCAGCCAGCTGGGAAGAGGCACAATGTTCCAATGGTTACAAGACCAGAAGTAGAAACTGTGACAACCCAGCCCCAGCTCATGGTGGACTTGACTGTTCTGGCAATCGCTATGTCACCATAGACTGTAACGAGTGTAGCCATGGCAACGGGGGATGCGAACAATTATGCGTTAACTACGATGGTACCTACTCATGTCGTTGCAACCCTGGTTACAAAATTTCTCCAGGAAACTGGAAAAAATGTGATAGTACGTGGTTTTTCTTTCATACTTTGAATGAAGAATATAAATTGAATGAGCCTTCCTTACTGAAAGACACAAAAAAATAAAATTGTAAGCTTTTCCAGACTTATTTCTAAGAGGGGAATCAGTGCCTGTATTAGAGGAGTATGATAAAAGAATAAAATTATTCAGGCGAGATCACGGATTACCCCTTTTTTTCAAGATAATTCGCTAAGCATGGCATTTCGCAATGATCCCTCTCTGTGCTTTATTACATTACCTACAGGCTATTTATGAAGTAGAGTCGCATAGATATTAGAATAAAAAAAGATCATGCTTACTTCATAAAATCACTTTGGAATCTTTCAATTTAAACTGCTTACAGGAATTACCTGTGACACCAGTGAGTGGTCAGCTCCCAGCCATGGACAGATATCTGCACAATGTGCAGGTCAGTTACAGGTGGTTTCTGGGACGCGTTGCGAGGTTAACTGTGATGATGGGTATGAACTAAGTGGCCATTCAAATTCTGTTTGTGGCATTGATGGGGAATGGGATCCAAGGACAACAGCAAACTGTAAAGGTAAACGCTAGATCAATAGCTACGTAATTAATTTGTTAAGTGACGATATTATAAGTAAAAAAATATGTCAAGACGATACTTGAATGAACCAATGAAGAAGTGAGAGGCTAAATAAATGAATGAACACAGGGGAAAAGCGGTAAGAACCAAAGGGTGAATTGATAAATGGAGCAATGAATGATTGGAAAGTACTGCGATACAACCCCAAGCAACATTTTCTAAACAATATGCTTGCACATTTTTAAGCCTAATGATGTAAGGGGAGCCGTTGTGTAACTTATCTCGGAGCAAATGAATAAAGGGGTAAGTTTCTAGAGAAACTGTGGTGCTGCGTCGGTGGGAGAGTATAGCAGGTAATTTTAATGTTAACAACTTAGTTGAAAACGTAAATTAGCCACCGTAAAGGGTAAAAAGCTGACGTTTCGAGCGTTAGCTCTTCATCAGAGCGATTGAAACGTCAGCTTTTTTACCCTGTGCAGTGGTTAATTTACGTTTTCAACTAAGTTGTTAACACTAAATTACCTGCTTATCTCAGAGCAGCCAAGCAATGCACCCGGCAGGGCTGAACACGAACTTATCAATTGAGGTACTGGTCTCAATCAAAAGGTCAGTATTTCTTGAGGGATGAGTCTAGGAATAAAAGGGAACTGAAAAAGTGAATGCAAAAGGCCCCTCCCATCCTATAAAAGGAAACATAAACAAACGGACAAACAAGGAAAGAGAAATTGAAAGCAAACAAGCATTAGAGAAGTAAAGGCCCCTTCCCCGTGAAAAGGCAAGGAAAAAAAACGAGAACAAAAGTAAAACAAAATCGAAAGCGAAGCATCACAAAACTTTGATGTTTCGAAATGTAATACTATAAATTGCTGATGTCATGAATATATTTTCATTTTAGTACATCAGTGTCCACCACTAACTGAACCGGATAATGGGCAAATTACTCCTTACATATGCAAAACCAAGCCTCTGCATGGCGAGACGTGTCTACATGAATGTAAGCCAGGATTCAGAGTCGTTGGCCCCAGCTCAAGCAAGTGTGACAATGGACATTGGAGAAATGTAGGGTTCTATTGTCAAGGTAAGCTTAAGGTACAATGAGATTTGTCACAAGTGGGTAACTTATGGAATGACAAGTGTTTAGCACATAATTGCACGGGATTCCGGGTTAAAAATGTCATAAAAGAGTTATTAAAATGAATGATTGGTCTCTCTTCTGTTATATCTTCGCGGGTTTTGTGTCAACGTGTCTTGAGTGAATTTTGCATTTACGCTTAACCGATGATGGACACCCACTGAAACGATTTAGCGAAGCCTCGTATCTTATTTCCAAGACGTTTGGATCAGAATGGAAGGGTTGGTAGATTATCTGTTTTTTACTTAATAAAGGACAAGGTCCAAAATGTTTGATTAAAAGTGCAACTTACACCAAACGGGGTTCATTGCAAGTTCAAAAATTACTTTTCAAATTTTTGGCTGTTCTCTCATAGATTATGAAGCCCCTTCATTTGGTGAAACATGCCCATCTGCACGAAGTGTTTTTGCTGACGAAGGAAAAACGTCGGCCACAATAAGCTGGCAACCAGTCATAGCCACTGATAATGATCAGGCCATCGTGTCTGTGTCTCCTCAAGTGACATCTCCGCACATATTTTCGGAGGGGAACCATTCGATAACCTTCACTGCCACAGATCTATCTGGGAACGCGAAGTTTTGTCACTTTCAAGTTAATGTTCAAGGTATTTGTGGGCTCCATGCCAAAATCAGAATTTAGCTGACATACTGAATCTTACGTAAGTGCATAATTAGTTGGGTAATTTCTCTTTTGTTATATTTGGATCACGGCAAGTAAAAATTTGATATTGTCAGGACACTGTTCACGTTGAGTCTAGATAAGCTAATTGAGGATTATCTTGCCATTCAAGGCTGGAGTAGGCTGGGTGTCTCCGTATGATCTTCTCTTAGCACCATCGTATTGAACGTATGTCACTTGTGACGACTTTTAATGATAAATTTTTTGAAATGTAAAGAATCGTCGCGATACCTTTCACAACTATTCGTTTGCATCAGGTCACAAATGGTGTCGTATTTTGGATTCAGACTAGAGAGCTTTTCTGTGTTTTATTTGACTGATATTCAATAAAACGGTAAACTAAGAGGAAATAGTAGGTTAGGTTGCTAAAGTCTACTAAGCCGTTTTTTGAGGATGGTGCAGTTTTTTTAGGACTTACTATGGATATTTACTTTCCACATTTTACTAAAAGAAGCACCCATTTAATGCTTATATTTTACCGACTTCCCTTTGCTACTTCCACTTCGATGCTGCCTTGTATTCGTACATGCAAATTCTCATGAGCAACTACTGACTGGGTCTCAAAGGAATTCCATTTAGTTTCTACACTTGATTGAGAGAAACAATCTCTCTGAGCCTTTTTTTTACTAGCTCTCTTTTTATTACTTTTAGTACTTCGATGCCCCGTTCTACTCGCCCCTGCAAACGGAAGACTGGAGAATGCCGCCTGTGGAAACTTATTCGGCAGCACCTGCCGCTTGACGTGTAATAAAGGATACGAAATAAAAGGAACTGAGGAAAGAAAATGTGAGAAAAAACCTGGGACGAATACAGTGCACTGGACGGGAAATGGTACTCACTGTGAAGGTAGAAAAACATATGACTTCATTGTTCAGTCAACTGAAACAGAATGCGGAGAAATGTGGTTCTCGGCCACCACCATCATAAAAGGCTGTCTATCAAGGTGAAAAGTCGACAGAGACGATATTTATAAGGATGACAACGACGATGGCGACAAGAACGACAACTATGATAATTGAGAACAATTCTCAACTGTCCAATAAAAACAAATTAAATAAGACGTTGTTGTACCACCAGCATAAAGTGCGATTTTTTTAAAAAGAATACGTTTCAGTTGTGCACGTTTAATAATAAAAAGATAAAAAGGCCAATACAGAGCAGGGTGTAAGGAATCGGGCGGGCACCGGGCACGAGAAAAGAACGTCAGAAAAGAACGTAAGAAAACACGAATACATATGGCATGAAAGAAGAAATTGGAATATACTCTGAACACTATATAATGAAAAATACACCAAATTTCAACCGAATCCTGGAATTTCGTCTTCGATTTTGAATGAAAAATGTCCCTTGATTAATCCAGTTTTTCATTGCAGCTCTTCAATGCTCTGCTCTGGATAATCCAGGTAACGCAGTCAAATCAGGTTATGGTTGTACTGGCGCATCCTCTATCTATGGTACTTCCTGTTTCTTTTCTTGCATGATGGGATACCACGCTGTGGGCGGATCGCTGAAACGAACATGTCTGCAGAATGGGAAATGGAGTGGAACCAAGCTTCAGTGTGAAGGTAAAAAAGGGATGATTCCTTGAATTGAGAAATCTCATTTCGTGTATTTTTCTGGTAGCGGGGCTGGTGTAGTTGTGAGAGGACTCACATTACATTCCACCACCGTGGCTTGGGTTCGATTCCCCGACCTGGCGCAAATGTGGATTGAGTTTTTTGATGGTCCTTGCTCCGAGGGTTCTTCTCCAGGTCCTCCGGTTTTCCTCACTCCGCAAAAACCAACATTCCAAATTCCTGGTCGACCTAAGAAAATAACCTATGACGCATCTCTGTTAACAAACCACTTATTTTTTATTCTAGCTATCACCTGCCCACCGTTTTCCATTCAATCAGAAGGACTAATTATCGGCCCGGCATCCTGTACCAATGCAACTGCTGTTCTAAATTATAACTCAGAGTGCTGGTTCTCCTGTAAGAGTGGATATCTACAGGGTGGGCCTGGAATCAAGACTTGCAATCAGAACAACGATTGGTCTCCTCTAGGAAATCCTTCTTGTAAAGGTTTGTCTTAATTACCAATTTTCTTTCAAAGGTGAACACAATTTAACGACCTTCGACAAGATATTTTAACCAACATTGTGCAACAGTGCACTCATATCAGTTCCAGTGTAATGAGCTTGGAGTAAAGTAAATGCCAAAGACGACAAAAAAGAGTCATTCTTAAATATTCTGACTACAATAAACATACGTACAACATGCAAATTTCAACAAAGGAGAAACAAACCTGTTTATTGCTACTATTCCTTTTTTTCGCGGGGCAGCAGTTTGTTGAATACCCTCTCCAATTAAAGGAAAATCTTAAACCATCGAGTTCCTCTATGATAATTAATCACTTTGAGAGTCGAGCAGCATGCAAAACTGAAATCAAACAGTTTTATTTGAATACCAACAACTGCATTGCGAAAAAATAATATTCTTTTCAAGGATCAATATCAGTATCTGGGCAACTTCCCACCTACCACTCCCCTAACCCGACATTAAGCCTAACTTGTCATTAATTGACTGTTGTTGAGTTAGGGGAGGGGTAGGTGGGCAGTTGCCCAGATACTGACATTGATCCCTATTCAAAAGCCAATAGCCTTTCGGGGTCTAATTCAAAATTAACATTTAGAAATAACTTTGCACCGAACAATTTCTTCAGAGTAAATTTTGCCTATAAACCTAAAAAACGGGAAAATCTATCAGCGACTATAAAACTACTTGATAGCACACTAGGCTAAACGGAGAGTTTTTTCATAACTCTTGTGCATTAAGTAGTTTTCTCCCTTTTTGAGGAAGCTACGTTAGCTCACCTGAAGTTGACTCCACGTGTTATTCGATACTCTATTTTTATAGTTGTCTCTCTCAAATTTGTTTATGTTTTATTTTGAACTGTTTTTCAGATGTTTCCGCGCCAGTCTTTGCAGACTGCCCCGCCAACATTGTCATCACTGCTGATAGAGGTGAAACGTCAGCCCAAGTGACTTGGGTCCATCCGACGTGTACAGACAACTCTGGCCTTGTTCCAAACATTACACAGTTTGGAAAACAACCTGGGAACACATTTTCCGCTGGGGAACACAATATACGATACTTAGCATCTGATAGATCAGGGAACATTGCCGAATGCAGATTCAAGATTTTTGTTCAAGGTAAATGTTTCTCAAAATGGGCAGATGTCACAATGATCCCTGATATGGTTAAAATTGTCAGCCCTGTGGTCTGTTATGTGTTGATAATAGCAAAAATATTAATTTAAAAAGCTGAGAAAAGAGAGAAAGTATCACTTTAATCGCTCCAGTAAACCCCAGTTTTAAGACACCTACCCCTTTTTTTACCTTAACCACTCGGCAGAAAAATACCAAGTGGGAAAAAATTTACTTACTAGCAAGGAAAATTTTAATTATGTAAATTTGAAAGAGTGGTACTTTTTTTACGTTGAGAGTATATATGTAGTAATACTTTAAATCTATGAGAAAAAAGGAAGGCACGCAATAAAGGCGACAGACTGGGCGCACGTCTCGATATTATCTTTGTGTTCGCGCCTGCCCTTCTTTCTACCCTACGCTGTTTGTTTCTTTCTTTTAGTTTTGCGGTGCTCACCTAAACTACAAGCTCCAGCGGGAGGAGGCTCGCTTTGCACCAAGGGTAATCAGTATGGATCCAAATGTTCCTTCGCTTGTCACATTGGACACAAGATGATAGGCTCTGCCCTCCGGGTATGTGAGAAGGACCCGGTGACTTCTTTGGGTTTCTGGACAGGAAACGAGACAAAATGTGATTGTAAGTCAAATTCCAAAATTATCTTTCTTTCCGTTCGCTTTAATCCCTTCCTCCATCCCAAGAAAATGGCCACTTTCTTAAAATGGTCGGAACATTTTTTTCCTACCACATAACTTTGCAAAATCACGTTTGCAAAAAGCACGTTGCAAGTTGAAGCGAATCATCTATAGTCCAAGAAATTTAGATATAAGAAAGTCAAAAAGTTTACTCTGACCATATACTTTTTTTAGTGATCAGGTGCCCGCGTCTAATTCCTCCCGACCACAGTACACAATATGGATGTTGGCGTGGCTCTGTGGATAACACTTATGGTGACAAATGTTTGTTGTACTGTGACGTCGGGTACCAGCGTGTAAATGGTTCCACCGAGAGAATCTGTCAAGCTAATGGTACATGGTCTGGAGAAGAGCCCTTCTGTGAGGGTAAGGGTGTGGAGGGGGGGGGGGACATGAGGGGCAGTGCAAATTGATAAACTCACATGATTTAATTTGATTTATAAGAACATTGACAGATGTTTAAAAAAAAGCTTTTGTTTGTCTCGTGCGCTTTAATCGATTAATTCTGCTATGGAAGACAAAACCATTCCGCTATCAGTAATCATGCCAACAAAAAAAGATAAATAGCCAAAAATATAATAAGCAAACAATTAATTTTTATCCTTTTGCTCATTTTTCTCATTTTATTTTATTTATCAATAGAGAGACAGTGTCCTCCGTATCGTAATTGAAGCGATTACAAGGTCTCTCAAGTCTCTCAAACAAGATAACTCACTCCATAATTCTATTTGTCATACATGAAAACCAGAGCGGTTTATAAACAGCAAAGTTCTGATGCTATTTTCTAGTATTGAAAATGATGTTGACTTACTGAATATTCTTCTCCTAGCTGTCCGCTGTAAGTCTTTACAAGCTCCAAAGGATGGCGATATCTCTCCAAGTTCTTGCACATCGTCTCCGGAGTACGACACCACTTGTCTTTTCTCTTGCCGAAAAGGCTACAGACTGCATGGAGAACCAATAGCAACTTGCCTTGGAGATGGAAGATGGTCAAGAAACGCCACTGCAATGTGCAGAGGTTAGATAGCAAGATCATGGAAAACTTTGGCGGCTTAGAAAATAATACAAGTTGTGATCTTTTTAGGTGCTCTCACATATGTATAAAAAAAAACCAATCACAACAACAACGATAACAACAAAAAAAAATATGCCAAAAAAAGAGGGGAGAAGGTCAGCGCTCAAAAATTATTTTTAATTTTAATTTAATTCTATCTGCAGACGTGGAAAGCCCTTCGTTTGGCTTTACCTGCCCAAGCCATATCAACTCGTACGCAGACAAGGAAAGAAATTACACGCAAGTGTCCTGGCCTCCTGTTATTGCCACTGACAACTCTGGTCTGGTACCGACTGTGACTTCGAGAGGTGTGCAAGTCATATACTATAATGGGAAGCACGAGGTCACTTACAACGCCTCTGATGTAGCAGGAAATTTCAAGATCTGCAAGTTTCACATCACCGTTGAAAGTAAGCTATTTTAAGCTTTCCCGTGTGATAGTAGAGTCCTAAAAAAATGGTTAGCGATCTTGATGTATCATCGTCAATTTGTTTTTAACAAACACAAACGCAGTAAGACAGTATTGATAGCAGAAAATGGTTTATGATATGATTGCTTCCGAACTGATCAAGACGATCACAGACTTGAATACAGATTAGTTTGTTATTATCAGAAAGATAATGTAATATGAATCAAGTTCATAAAATCTATGAAGTCGAACAATTGAAATGAGAGTTTGTAAATAATTCTTCCTTTTGCGGTAAGTGTTTTCTCTTCCAAAGGGTAACATATGAATTTTATCAGCGTTTACCAAGGAATCTCTCTAGTATTTATGTTATTTAGTAGAAATATTCAAATTAATCGGCAATTGTTAAAACTACCCTTAACGCTTATTTTTGTCTTTTTGTTTCAAAAGGAAATGATTGGGTGATATGTTCTGTTTTCGACCTTGGTTACCGGGTACAAATTATATGTTAACTTTGAATGCATTCCCATCCGTTTCCTGTTCCAACAACAATAGAAAATTGTATGTAAATTGAGGACATGCCCAAACCAAACGATCTATATTACATTCCCTAAGATTTCTTCCTTTTTCCAGTCTTTAGATGTCAGACACTGCTACCTCCGCTTGAAGGATCCTTTTTGGGAGATTGTGACAACATTTATGGTTCGACGTGCAAAGTGGCTTGTAAAGATGGTTACAACCTTGATGGGTCTAGCGTCCTCACTTGCCTCAGGAAACCAGGTCACATAACAGGATATTGGAACGGTTCTTTCCCAGTCTGCCAGGGTAAATGATAAGCCTATTCCGTTATATGACAAAAAGGTTATTACGTTTTATTGATATCATTCGAATGAACATCAAATGAGCATCAGATATCAAGGTGGACAGACACAATCCTTTTAAATCTGACGGAAGACTGACTACACCTCGGATTATGTAGCGTTAATCGTTTTCAGTTTTGGACACAGCAACGTTAGCACAACTAATTAATATTGGCCGAAGCACTGCCTTTCAAAAGGAGAATAAATCATACTGCGTAAAATTTAAAAACGTCCAGTTTGTAAATGAAAACTTTCTCGAAAATTAATGCTTGTCAGTAATTTTGGAGTTACGCCGAATCAATCAAAATTACATAAGATGAAACCAAAGAGGTCAAATGGAATCTACTGAGAAAGAGAATATTTATCTAAATGCAATGAAATGCGTGGAGTGAACGAACATCAAGATGAAAAACTCAAACTTTAACCCACGATGTTTTCAAATTTTAGAATGTCCCTGATGATTGACTTTTTTTCTACTATTTTAATCGAAAAACATGTAATAAATTCCAAAACATCATTTGCATTGATTTTTCTTAGTACGGAGATGTCCTTCTCTGAGTTCTCCAAGGTACGGCTTTATTTACCCCCGTATGTGCAAGTCGTCTCCAGTCAGCGGTACAGCCTGCTACTTCGAATGCAGGAATGGTTTCCTTGAAAATGGTGGAGAAACTGTGGTCTATTGTGAGAACGATGGAAAATGGAGCAAAAACATATCTTCGATATTAAAATGTCTTGGTAAGCTACTTAGATTTTTGGTTGAGGAACTGCCATGGCGCCATTGCCGTAACTGATCTTGCTTTACCCTGAGGTGATTCGTAGAATTTATTGAATCTGGCTTGGTATGTGTAGAAGACAGCAAATGGATTCCATTTTGCCATGTAATATTTCAGTAATAGATCACAGACGAAGTAAAAATGTGGTTCTTTTTTGTTGAAAGCAAAACTTTTTTGAAAGTGACGCCAAAATAAAATATTCGTCTATCCCTCAAATAGATCATAAGTAATAACCAATAAAACTGCGAATAGGAAACACTTTATAAGTAGGAAAAGGTCACACTCAGATGTCGTTTACTTGTTGCCAAATATCAGTCGTCTGTTGCATATTTTTGCAGATGTGTCACCACCTGTATTTAGGAATTGTCCCTCAGACATTCGTGTAAACCTCAACGCAAATTCAACAGCAGTGGCAAACTGGACTGCTCCAGTTGCATTGGACGACAGCAACGTGGTACCGCAACTGACAGTCTTCCCTCAGGGCATTAAGCCGCCTCACGTGATCAATGAGACACTTCTGGTTGAGTACACGGCCAAGGATCCAAGCGGCAACGTAGTCAAATGCTCTTTTAGAATAATCCCAGAAGGTAAACAATCTCCTGAATAAGATTTACTTGTGTGTATTTAGCATTTTCGTGGTTTTCTTGGCTTTCAAAATTGCCTTAGTCTTCTGCTCACAACCCTATTCAATGTGTTTGGAATTGAAATCTTTCGTCCTGCCCACCAGAAACCTCCAGAATAGAACCAAGAACAAGGAACCGCTCCATCTGCGTAATCTTACTGTGCAAATCGTCTTGTTCCTACTGAAGGACTCTACGTAACTCATAAAAGCAAAAGGTTGATGTATGGTTTTATGTTCAATTCCCTAGATAATTCGGGTCCTGTGGTCGTTTTCTGCCCTCCAAGTCAAAACATCACATCGGAAAAACGAAAAATAAGCGTAACATGGCCAGAGCCTCAGTTTAAAGACAATAGCAACAGCCCGCTACAAATAACGTGCAGTCGCAAAAGTGGCACTGTCTTCTACTGGGGAAGCTATACAGTACACTGTATGGCATATGATAACAACCCCAACAACAAGCCAGGAGTCTGCAAATTTGAGCTTACCATAAGACGTAAGTACCAAATACGATCCTTGCCTGTTGGTATACAATTTTTATATTTAAGCTACTGGTTACTAGAAAAGCGTTTTTGTTTTCATCAGAAACTTCCTCAATGGCATCAGCTTAATAATTAAAATCCTATTGTTCACTCTCTTTGTGACTCCAGGTTAAGAAACAAATTATTATACCATTATTTTAAGTTATGGTTAGGTATTTTTATGATGCCTTGGCACTATGGATTAGCAAACAAAGTGAGCACTTTTGATAACTCTTGGAAGAAGAAGAAACGTGAAAACTTTGCTATTTGTAGATTTGATTGGAAGAGAACAAAATCCGTAGAGAAAACTGAAAATATATGCAGTTTAAACAGTTTATTTTATCATTATGGCTAACTTGCGTGGTTAAAGATCAAACACGTTTCATAGGTACTTAAAGCACTCTCTTAAGAGAGAACTTGGAGGTAACAACATAACATTCCAAGACTTTATGTAACTGCCAAACAATCCCCCCCCCTTTTTTTTCGGTTTAAGGCCTTTTTTGCTTGAGCCGTAATTGCTACCAAAAGATAAAGGAAAAAGAAAGAAAGTTAATCAAAAATAAGTAACTGTCCATTTCCTTTCCCAGCAAAAAAATGCAATGAAATGAAACCTCCGATCAATGGTGCTGCCTCTTGTGATGACTGGATGTTCGGAAGGCTATGTACACCGAGTTGTAATAGAAAATTTGATTTTAGCGAGCCTTTGTTGAACAGCGTTTGGACTTGTGGAGGATCTGGTACCTGGACTCCTGGGTATCGTTGGCCAGACTGCACAGGTAAGCTGCATATGCTAAAAAAAATTATAGAAAAATAAACAAATAAATAAAAAAGAGGAAAAGCCGAATATAATCTAAAAGAACTTATGGAGCAGCTCACAGTAACTGCAGACTAAACATTCTCCCAAAGTCTGATATGGAGAAATAAACATGTCGTTGGGGCTCGAGAGTACTTTGGTGGTACCAATATAACTTATATTGGCCCGCATTAGTCCAAATAACACTCCAAAGAGGGAAGAACGTTGTCTCTGAGTAGAAAAGTGATTCGTTTGCGTGAATGACAGGAGCATACCATTTATCGCTCGTCATTCCTTGAAAGGACCGGATATACTAACACTAGTAGAGTCTTACCGTTCAATCCTCAATCCCTCGATCAAAGTGCCGACGTTTCGGGCGTTAGCCCTTCGTCAAAGCGAACGCACGAAACGTCAGCTTTTGAACTCTTTACGGTGGCCAAGGTACGTTATCAATGCATTTGATAATGCTAAATTACCGAATATGTGTTACAATTTGTCTCAAACGAGTATTCCGACGAACAGAGTGCCATTCGTTGTGTAATGGTTTGTTTCTTAAACCTTTGCAGAAAAATCTCATCCCAATAGAGTAAGAATGGCAATGGACTTACACTACTATGATGGAGATTGTAGCACAAACGAAACCCAGACTCAAATAAAGGAACTTTTTATAAAGATTATCAACACGTCTGCTTTCCGTGAAGCCTGTCAAGATCCATCTTTCAGAGATAAGTGTAAAGCTGAGAACGTTGTGGTCACGTGCGGGGAGGTCGACGAGTCTGTTGGCAATAGAAAAAGGCGTTCGACAGGTAAGTCATGGAACTCTTTCAGGAAGGCGCTTTTAAATTTTGTTCTTTTGTATGATGTTTACCTCATCGTCATGCATAACAACAATGACATTGTCACTCTTAAGGGAGGCTTAGAAAGCCTATTTGAATGCACATTACTATGCCAACCATATCCAAAGGCGAAAGATCATCGAGGTAAATGGCATTAATATTAATTCTCTGTCAAACTCAGTGGGTATTCAAAAGATGTTGAGAGATTGCTTCAAATTTTTGTCAAAATCCATGATAATCTCTACGGAATAGGATCCTTTGGGAATGACAAAAGCTCTCATAGGAAGATATGATCAAGATCCTACAAATCGGATTGTGTCTTTATTCTGAGAATAGAAAAGTGGGAATTACATCTCATCGTTCGGTTGGCGCAAACTTGGCTTCTAACAATCAAAAGAAGATAATCTAAGTTATTTTTAAACCTTATCGGCGATTTTCTTTAGCTTGAAACTTGTGGTTAAGCATCTGCAGGAGACAGAAACATACATCTTTTCCAAATAATTCTCTTAGAGAGGTGCATATTTTATTTAATATACCTAATAAGTCAAAAGGAGCTTGAAAGTAATTTAACGTGTGAAATCAACAGGTGATAACGAACATTTCAGAAAAAGGCGATCTGTTCTACAAACAACAGTCACCGTCGAGATCATTGGTAAGTCCATAGACGTTATTCACCAGCAATATTCCACTGAGGCATGTGCAAATTTTTATGTATTATACCAAATCATGTTGTGTGACACGATGTGATGTAATATGATGTGATATAATGTTATATCCGATGTGATATGATAAGTTGTGATGCGGAGAACGGTGCAATGAGATGTGATGTGACATAAAGTGACGTAATGCGATGTACGAGGTGACGTGATGAGACGTGATGTGATGTGATATGATATGGTATGATGTAATTTGAAATGCTATGTGATATGATGTAATTAAATGTGATGCAATGTAATGTTATGTCCGATGCAATATGATGACATGTGATATGGAGAATGATGTAATGAGATGTGATGTGATTTGATGTGACATGATGTGATGCAATGTGCTATTGTGATATGTTGCACGAGGTGACGTGATGAGATGTGATGTGGTGTGAAGAATGGCGTAATGTGATGTGATGTAATGTAATGCGACGTGTGATATGACGTGATGTGATGTGTGCATGTAATGCACAAATTTTTTTAAGATCGCTAATATCATGTGAAACGCATATGAACAGGGGCGTAGCTAACCCATAGTCCTGTGGTCTTGGGCTTGCAAATATTTTTCTGTCGGCTTGACTTTTAGAATATCGCTCTTTCAAATTTTGAAACAAAATTGAAGTTCCAATCAGTTTTCAGGCGTAAAACAAGTCGAAAAGCAGGCTAAGGGTGTTGGATGGTAAAATGCCGCATGGGGCTTGTTTTTTTTTTACATATTTCCTCCACAGCGACAGAACCCGTAACAATTACGGACCTCGTTAGGGTAGTTTCTGAACAGTTTCATGTCTGCTAAAATTACGAGTGAGGGAGGGGTCGATTATTTATTTAGTTTGGTTTTTCACGCTGATGTGATTTAGGGTTTTAGGAGTGGAAGAATGCAAATTAATTTGAATGTTTTATCTCTCGCAGTTGAGCTTGATGGAGTTGAAGGAAACGACACCAGCGAAGATTACATAATGATTGGAGAGGAAGGAATGAAAGTTGCCCACAATATTAGCAATCTGATTAAACAAGCAGCTCAAAATGGCAGCCTTCGGTTCTCAGTCAATAGCTCAGATTTTGTCCCTGACATAAAAACGCTCAACATCTCCGATCCTCAGCAGCTTTGTTATACTGGGCAGATTTACAGGAATGGATATTGTCGTAAGTCTCGTGCGATTATAATATGGTATCATTTAATGTTTCAGTTGGGGACTTTGACACAATTACCAAGGCCTGAGAAGTTAACTAAAAGTTATAACAATCTGAATTTATCAATTTAGTTGATAAAGTAAATTGGCCATCATAAAGATTTTAAAAGCTGAGGTTGCAAGCAATAGCCCTTCGCCAATCCCTCTGACGAAGGGCTAAAGGTCTAAATAAATCTTGTAAAATCAAATTATCTTGTAATAATCCTCAAAGAAGCAGCACCTTAATTTCCCCGGGAACTTATCACCTTTATTCATCTAAAAGTTATGATGATAACTTGTGCTCAAATTTCACCTTTGCTTGTTAATACCTTGAGATGTTGTGTTTTACCAGAGATGATTGCCTTCAGCGTAAGATATTAGAGTTTGTTATAAAACCCATCATTGTTTGTTACTGGATTCTATAAATGAACGAACAACCCTCTTACTGTGTAATTCCATTGATGATGGGAAAAGATTCCAATCTATGATGTCATGCTTTCGTCTCTCAGTTAACTGTAGCTCTGGAACGTTTTTGAACCAAACGACTGCAAAATGCCAAGATTGTCCTCACGGAACATATCAGGACTCTGAAGGAGAACAACAATGTCTGTCCTGCCCATCAGGAACCTCCACTGTAGAATCGAGGACAGCAAACCGCTCCAGTTGTTTTGGTAATCATTAATTGTTCTTTTTAAGAGCCGCCCTAAGATGTTGGTATTCAAATCTGCAGTTTAGTTTGTTAATATAAACTAGGACCAAAATAGCAGCGACTAACCTGAGAAGAATCACATGTCTCGGCCAAGGGAGTCTTTAGATACTTAATAGCATCTCTCGTAAGTCTCGTTCACAAATTGAGGTGTCAATAGTGGCATTCCATCGCAGAGGGTTTCTCAACAGCCTGCTAACGAGTTACATCAGTGCAATAGAAAAAAGTTCTAAACAATTATTAGATAAGGTTTTTGTGATATCCAGAGTAATCAAGGTCGAGGACGGGGGTTATCAGCCGAAGCCGAAGGCTCAGGCTGACAACCCTTGCCGCTATCATTTAAGTTTGTTGTGGGCTATCGTTTAAATTTGTTGATTTTCTTAATTTCTTCACCAGCGGTCGCAGCTCTACTTCAAATTAACTACCAGGGTGACTTTGATCATGGCTCCTTTCAGTTTTCATTCTTTTTTTTTTAGAATGATTGAGCTTTGAGCAAGCACACAACTTTTAAAACTTTTGCTTGCGCCGTTTAATGTGTATTTGTCGATTGATCTGATTCAATTCAGCAGGTTCCCAGTGCCTTCAAAAAATTCTATGTAAATTTATAACGGCGTTTGATATAAACTGTTAGGCTTAATTTCAAGTGTTAATATTACTGATGATTACAGGAATGGTTATATCATTATATGATGGCAATAAATATCAATATTATCATTATCATTAATTGCTTCAATTTTTCGTTAAGCCTATTGCAAAGCTGGTAGCTACTCCCCCACGGGTCTTGAACCATGTTTCCCATGCGACAAGGGCTCTTACCAAAACAAGAATGGGCAGAAAAATTGCTTGCCATGCGCAGCAAACCAGACGACGTCATCTGAAGGTTCCAATAGCTCTTTGCTGTGTGGAGGTATTTCTAAGAAGTGATTGATTTGTGTGTGCTGATTCAAGGTTTCTGTAATGTTATCGCTTTAGATGGAATTCTATGTTTCAACCTAAATGCTTGCCTTAAGATTTTTCATTGTAAAATCAACTAATTTTACCGTGATTATTTCGCAGAATTCTCACGCCAGAGGACTGATTTTATGGTTTGATTTTGCCGCAGGTTATAAACCTTGGTTACCCTAATCAAGCTCTTTTTAGGCAGAAAGTGCTCCATCTTCCACTCACATCTTTTTCTTTTACTCCTGATCATAAAAGTTGGAAACGGTGTCATAAAAATGCTGCATTTTTTTTATTAACCCAGGTGTCTTGCAACCCCCATTCTCAGTTATCTCTCGCGAATCTTAAGTTTCTTTCAATTCTCCAGAAATCCCCTTCTCTTTTGAGTACATCCACCCTACCGGATAGAGTGCTACCTCCATAACTTAACGACCTGAACAAAGGTAACGGTCATCAAAATCTCACCTAATCATTTATGTTCACTTCCTTCTCACAGGACCTTGCCACCCTGGCTCGTTTTCCCCCAGTGGATTGGCACCGTGCTCTTTATGCGACCAGCGTTCTTTCCAGCCGCGTAATGAAAGTCGGATTTGTTTTCCATGCCCAGGAACCACTATAACAGTATCTCCCGGATCAAAGACCGCACAAGATTGCATAGGTGAGATGACATAAGAGGAATTAGGTTTCTGTATTTTTTTAATCATTTTAACCTACAAAATTGAAGATTACACGCGATTAATAATGGTAAAAGGAGCGAGTGAAGTCCATTCGGTTTGGAAGCCGAAAGAGGTGATGCGGCCTAGCGAAAATTGAAATAATTTATGGATCAAGATGCCAACACCCGTTTACCATTATGAAAAGAGACAAATTGTGTAAATAATATATAAAGACATGTTTAATACCTCTCTCATAGAAGCAAATAATTAGAAAAACTAGATTTAAAATATTAATTCTTTCAAGACAAAACTTTATCGCTAGAAATTAACAGACATGTACCTGAAAAAACTTACAAAAAAAAATTATGATCTACTCATGCTACTTAAAAAGTCTTTTTCAAAATTAAGTAATTTTTGTCATGTTTCCATAGAAATCAACGAATGCGAATCAGACCCTTGTAACAACAATTCAACATGTACAGACCTCATCGGTGACTACCTGTGTTCTTGTACCTCCGGTTACACTGGAAAGCAGTGTGAGACCAACATTGATGAGTGTCAAGACCAACCTTGTTTCCATAACGGCACATGCCACGACCTTCTTAACAATTACACCTGCAATTGCACGCAAGGTTTCCGTGGAATTAACTGCGAAAAGGATATCAACGAATGTGATTCGTCACCATGCGCCAACAATGCTTCCTGCCAAGATCTCCTCGGAGGATTCAAATGCCAGTGTGAACCTGGTTACACTGGCGAGCTCTGCGATACTGATATCGATGATTGTCTTATTTCCCCTTGTCAGAATGGAGCTACTTGCCGAGACGGCATCAATAACTACGAATGTGTGTGTGCTCTGGGATACCAAGGGGATAACTGTCAAGAGAATATTGATGACTGTGCAAGCAATTCTTGTCAGAACGGAGGCCAATGCCTCGACGGTATTGGCAGCTATCTGTGTATTTGTCCAAAGGGATTTACTGGTAGTATTTGTGAGATAGACATTAACGAATGTGTGACAGCAGACTGCAAAAACAACGCTACTTGTATTGACGAGATAGACGGATACTTTTGCCAGTGCGAGAAAGGATTTTCTGGAAAGACGTGCGAGATTGAAATTGACGAGTGTTTCTCCAATCCATGCAAGAACCAAGCGCAATGCATGGATATGATTAATGGGTATACATGTGACTGTCAAGATGGTTTCGATGGTTTACATTGTGAGAACAACATCGACGACTGTGCTTCAATTCCTTGCTCAAACAATGGCATCTGTCGCGATGGTATTAACAATTTCACCTGCGCATGTCCGTCTGGTTTTACGGGTGCGCTGTGCAACGTGGACATTGACTATTGCACCTCCAAGCCTTGCTATAATAACGGTTCATGTTTTGATGACAACACGTCTTTTAAGTGCCAGTGTCCCGATGGTTTTGAAGGGGAGCACTGCGAAATCAATGTGGACGATTGCAAAAACTCTACCTGCATGAACAACAGCACTTGCATTGACGGCATAGATGAGTATGAATGCGCATGTTCTGAAGGTTTCGCTGGCATCAGCTGCAAAATAAATGTTGATGACTGTGCGGGAAACCCATGCGTCAACGAAGGAACATGCACAGACCTGATAAACGACTACCAATGCAACTGCAAGTTGGGTTACACAGGGAAAAACTGCAGTGTGGACATCGACGAATGCACAAGTTCTCCTTGTAACAACAATGCTACGTGCATCGACCAGGTGCATAGTTACACTTGCCTCTGTAATGTTGGATTCAGTGGATCCCATTGTGAAGTTGATGTAGACGAGTGTGGAGCAAACTATTGTAGTAATGGATCCACCTGTATAGACGACGTAAACGGCTATAGCTGTAAATGTGCCCCAGGCTTCTCTGGTGACGATTGCAGCACGGAGATTGACGAATGTGCATCTTTTCCATGTGACTATGGTGGGACATGTTATGATCAGGTACTTCACGACACATTATATGACTTGGTTCCGTTGAGCTATACATATACGAATTCAATACGATCTCCGGACACAGCATCATACAATACACACAAACATAACATGGGATACGTAGTAAATTCACAATTTTTTTTCACCGAGGAAAGATGTTCCCCGTGGTTAAATAACCGCTGTTCTTTATCTTGATCAGTTAATGGAAATCAGTAATCTTTTATCAAATTAATGTTGAAAGGTTTGAATTTTATACTTCTCAGGTTAATAGCTTCCTATGTTTCTGCAAACCTGGATTTACAGGCCATCGGTGTGATGTGAATATAGATGAATGTGTCTCCAGTCCATGTCAAAACAATGGCACGTGCATGGATCGTGTGGCAAACTTCTCTTGCCAGTGTCCAGTAGGATTTAATGGATCCCAGTGTGAAAACGCCATTGACTATTGTTCCGATTCGGGTAATTGCACTGTAAATGGGCAATGTGTAAATTCTCGAACAGATTTCTATTGCAACTGCAGTAGTGGGTATTTCGGGAAATACTGCGAGTTTGAAATCGACGAATGCTTGGCAAAACCCTGTTTCAACAACGCTACCTGCCGTGACGCCATTGGTGACTTCTCTTGCTCCTGTTTAGACGGATACACAGGGAAGCTCTGTGAACTGAACATTGATGATTGTAGGAACAATTCTTGTCAGAACAACGCGACTTGTGTTGACCGTACCCTTGGGTATTCCTGTCTCTGTGCCGAAGGTTACAATGGGACCCACTGCCAAACAGAAATCAATGAATGCGAATCCAATCCATGTTTAAACAATGGCTCATGCATTGACCTGACTCCTGGGTACAAGTGCGACTGCTTTGACAAATTCATTGGGGAAAACTGTGAAAACTTGACGGATCTCTGTTTATCTGCGCCTTGTCGGAATGGAGGTAGATGCAAAACTGAAAGCGCTGGGGAATACTTCTCCTGTACGTGTCCAGCTGGTTTTACAGGAAAAACTTGCGAAGTTAACATCGATGACTGCGTTTCGAGTCCTTGTATGCCAAACTCCTATTGTCAAGACCAGGTTAACGGGTATGCATGTGAATGCTTCCCTTCTTTCATGGGAGATCGCTGTGATATCTGTGAGTATCAATCATCGGTATACTGTTTTATAAGACGATTAATGCAGAAACATCAAGGTAAAGCAAGCCAAAAGAACTAACAGCAACTTTGCATGGAGGCAGGGGGGTAGCAATTCTGAAAAAAATAGAAAGGTTTTATTCGAAATAAAATCAAAACTCATGCGTAGTGCCATACGAAACATCAACTTGGGGTGTACAGAACATGCAACTTTCTCTCCGCTGCCGAATAGCTACAACGGAAAACATCATTTGTTAAGTTCATCAAAACAGGATTTAAGGGGTTAAAACGTAGAACCCTTTCCCGTGTGACAGTTACTCGATCCAGGTTGACGTTTAATAGATCGAACGTGTTTCAATAAACGTGAAGAAATCTCTCCTCTTAATTAGTTTTCAAACATATATGTCTTATTCTCAAACCGAGCTTTATGTTTCAGTTCTGGGCAGCAACTTTGATCTGAAATTTGCGCGGAAAAGTAAGGACGACATGGTTCTTCTGTCAGACGGTAAAAGTATTCCCAGCATGAGGTCGTTTACAATCGCCCTTTTTGTCCGTGTGGACTCAAGATTCCAGTCAGGGACATTGTTTAGTTATAGTGTTCCCCAGCAGTCGCAGGACATCATAGTACTATCGTTTACAGAGTCTGAAATCCTCCTGGAAATCAAAGATAAAGTAATAAAGACGAGTTTCAGGCTGCTGGATGATCGTTGGCATTACGTGGGAGTTGTTTGGAATGGAATCACTGGAGATACTTTCGTGTACGTGGATGGATCAGAGAGAGAACATTCCAAGGATGTAAACACCAGAAGTATTATAATGGGAGGTGGTTGGATCGTACTGGGGCAGCGATATCTCGCAGATGGACAGAATCCGACTGAATCGACGGCTTTCGTGGGCACTCTGCACCAAGTTAGCCTATGGGATGTGCCAGCATCAGCAGACCACATGTGGAATGCCGCACACAACTGCACCTGGCCCATTGCAGGAAGTGTGCGAGCATGGAGCAGCTTCCTGCTTGGGATAAAAGGAGAAGTAGAGAAGAGGTTTATGACGCAATGTAAAGGTATGCAGTCTGCTAAACATTCAAAATTTGCTAGAGACGCTTTTGTACACAAAGCTCTGGATCCCGAGGCCAAAGTTCGATACTCGACCGGGGTCAATGTTTTTCTTTAGTAAGGCACCTCCTTCTCGCAATGCCTCTCTACACATAGAAGCTTAAGCCGAATTTTCAGGAAAACCTGATTAAAAGCAAGGGGAAATGGCTCGCATAATTAACTCAGTAGATAATGCTAAAATACTAAATACCTTATGCTGTTTACTAAATTATTAAAGAATGACTTGCAAAGCAAAAGTTGACAAGAAATGGTAGGAGCAGACTAACTTGGTACTAGTTGTTAGAAAAAGGTTATTAGACCAAGTCTAAACGTTTGTCTCGAGCTTAGTAAGCTAAATACCTACTCCTGTCCAAATACAGAAAAGCTAACAATCTAACACGTAAAATATATTTATGGAATCTGAATTTAAAGCTTTTGTCCGTAAAAAGGTATGGTCGTCCGCTCCTGGGAATTCATTCTAAACTTAATTTTCTATTTACTGCGAATCCAAAGATAGCTCTAACAGCTCTACAAGTCAGGTGGGCTTGCAGGGTTGATTTCAGAATTCTATCCTATTTAGTCTGCAGCTGAATCACTGGTTCATCGCGATGATTTCCGTAACCTCTATTTTATCTTTTTTTATTTAATAATTTCTCTTTAATTATCGCGAATGAGATTTTTATTCAAACTTTTTTTAGGTTCAACCTATCGGTTGAAATTGTTTCTTTTCTTTCCTCTTTACCGGTAGCTTTGGACGATTGCACAACAAATTGCTCCCACTTTCTCCATTGTGAGGCTCGTGAAGCACGTTACCACTGCGAGTGTCAGCCTGGGTTTTCAGGTCCACACTGCAATATCGACATCGACGATTGCAGTTCCAATCCCTGCGTCAATGGAAAGTGTGTAGATGGTGTAAACCGATACGACTGTGAATGCGATAGTGGGTATTATGGCACTGACTGCAAGCAGAAGATCATCGAGGAAAAAGGTGAATATGCTCTCAAAGACACAAAACTGAACAGGTTTTCCGAAGTGATTGTTGAATAAAAAGTCGATGAGATCTTTTAGTCTGTCGAATAAAGATTAACAGTATATTCTGACTAGAATTTAAATTAAAATGGTTAATGAAGGTAAATATTTGCTGATATCGTTCTGAAGTTTTACTAACACCAAACTTGCAGTAAGTGCGTTTAAGAAAGAATTGCTGTTAAATGAATGGTGCTTCTGGGCAATCTATTTGAGTCCTACACATTCCACATATTTCTCAGGAAATATAAACTTTAAAACAAATTTCGCCCTTTTTCGTAGTTTGCCCAAAACTGGAGAAACCCAGGAATGGTCAAACGAAGTGTCGAAAGCTATCTGGAAAACTATTGTGTATCATGTCTTGTGATGAAGGACACGCATTTAATTCCGGGGCAATTACAATGTATGGCTGTGGGCCAGATACAGAATGGAAATGGAATGGAAAAGATGATCTTGGGATACCCTCTTGCACAAGTAAGAAAAGCGTTCTTTAAACTGTTTTTTAGAGTCATGTGTTATCTACATTTGCGCTGAAATTCTTTTCTTGGTGAAGACCTATCTAATACCGAGAAAGCAATTCCTTCATTTCATTAAACAAACAAGCTTCTAATTTATCTGACTAACTTGTTTGGCTGTTGCTAATGAGCAAGCGAATTCAGATTAGGAAAATATCCAAGAGTCAGATAAATAATTCTCTTATTTGTTTTAACGATAACTACAGTCGAGAAAATATAAACTATAAACAATAATAACGGTGATAATAATAGTAATGAATTAATATCTTGTGATAGTAATGATGATTTGACATGGTAAGGCAGCATGTTTATTGTGGTTTGCGTCTTATAAAATGAATAAAACTTTCACAGAAAATGAACTCAACGTCTTTCATTGCGAATTGCAAGAGATGAGTTAACGAATCGATATTCGACTCACTCTAACGACATGACTTTTTTTGCCTTTTATCATTTTCACACAGGTGAAGCTGCTCCCAAGGAAATAGAACATCACTTTTCTGTAAGGTTTAGTGGGATTAATTGTGGGAACATAAAAACCCACAAGGATTTACTGAAAGCTGTTAAAAAAGCTGTCAATGAAACGCTTTCAACAATCTCAGGATGCCACGCTTGCCAATTGACAAAGCTTACCGTTCCTGGATGTGAATTGGCGGAGGAGAAGAGGAAAAGGCGAGCAGTCAGCCATGCAATGGAGGTTCTCTTCTCATTAATGGTGAGAGAAGCTCTTGGTAGTAACTCATTGAGCGAAGATGTTCAAGAGAAGAGTGAAGCGGTCCTGTTTCAGATGAAGTATGCTGTTGCCACAGGACAATTCAGGATAAACGTAAATGGAATGAACACTACCGCTGAGAGATCTTCACTACACCATCTTTCCTCTAGTGTCACTTGCAGTGCAGGATATGTTACAAGCAGCAATGGAAAAAGATGTGGTAAGTGTTACATCTGCTTTGATTATGTCAATTTTCAGATTAACTGGATTAAAAACCTTACTGGTTAAGGAACTCGTGCTATCCTCTCAACCAATCAGTATTGACGCCTAAACGTAATCGTTACTTTAAGAGGCTGCGCTTTCCCTCGCTGGTGACCAGTCTCTTATAGTTAATTTCATCCCTCGCTAGCTGTTTTGCTCTTATTGGCTGTGATGTTTTCCTTGTGATAGCACTCTGCTGCGTGAATACTTCGGAGGACTTTGCGAATTCTTGGCTATTCTTTTGATTTTCAACAGTGGCATGCTCAGTGGGAACGTATTACGATAAAAACGGCTTCAACTGTACGCTGTGTGGTAAAGGTAGTTATCAGGACAAGGAAGGTCAGAACAGTTGCGAAAAGTGTGACCAAGGAAAATCAACGGATACTAATGGAGCTGCTTCGAGTGAAGACTGTGTTAGAGGTATGACCAGCTAATGGAATTTCGAAAGTCTTTTTCAAACATAGATAATAGACTGCTATAAAGATAACAGTTAGATCAGAATAACTATCGATCAAACATCACATCGTTCTGCAGGATTCAATCAATGAATATCATTAACAGTTAAGAACCCACGCCTAATCCAGCAAGAACATTGCGCGATTATTTTTCTTTTAGTACAGTGAAGGTTTTTTGGCAGTACAGGTCTTAGAGAATACGAATTTTACCTCGATAAGCTTTCTAGATCTCGTTTTCGTTCTGAAACGTCAACTAAAAAAAGGGATATTTTATTGACAACCATAATGCTCATGTTTGAAATTGGAAAATTCAGGGAAAATTTTGTCACATACAGACGAACTTTGCCAGATGACTCGACAATGAAACTGGGAAGGGTGCAAGTGACGTTCGTTCTGGCGAAATATTCTGAGAAAGATTTCTTGAACGATTCCATCGTCAATTTATGTAACACATACCCTCAAACAAAAAATCCTTTACGATAGCGTACAGTATGTAAAGGGAAACATGATTCTCTCCATTCCTTCCATTTTGAACAGTCTATCGTAGTAAAGTTGATGAAAATCTTGTTACCCTCTTCCTAGCCTCCCTTTAGCCGTAGTTGACATGACTGTCTCTGTTGGTCAACAGAACCTATTTCTATCAAAGAAGATACTGCCACTGGCGTCATCGTCGGAGTTGTAGTTGCTGTGGTTATTTCGGTTGCCTTTGCTGCAGCAGTTTTCTATTATTACCGCAGGTGCGTACTTCTCAATAGACGATGGCTCTTTGAAATATGCGTCTTTGGCTGGTGAAATCACACGAGGATAAAATTATGAAGATATTACACTATTTTTTTGGAAAAAATGCACTACCTAAATGATTTACTATTACTACTTTATAAAGCAAAATAAAACAACCAAAAGCGAATCACTTGTTTAAATAGACCAATCAAATTGCAATAAAATGAAAAAAAAAAATTAAAACTATCTACCATCAGCCTACTATTGGTAAAAAAAAAACATTTATACCACCTAAAAAAATCCTGTTTTTGAGCGACTGAAAGATACGATTTCAAAATGGGTATAATATAGTGGTAATGGATCTGAGTGAAGTGCAATTTTTGTCTAAAATAATCGTGATTTCAAATCACACTTTTTCTGCACACTCTTTTGATTTGGAAATGACGCACATGATTTAAGACGAAATTGCACTCGACTTAGTTCCGAAACCATCATCTCTTTAATTCTTAATAGATCGCCCTATGCGTGTAGTGGCAAACCAAAAAGGGGAAGTGAATCACGTATGTTCGAGGAAAGTACCCAACGGGGAGTATTTAACGAAGCATTCGAGGCGAACTCCACAGAAGACAGAGCTCGAGATGAACAAGAAATGCAATCTCTAGGAAGTGATCCCTCAATGATATCAGGACATACTTATAGCGAGATATCTGAAGTAGGAACATATGAGAATGCCAACGTCGGTTGTCAGAGGGACAATGAATCTCAACCTCCAACTTATCGCAACTACGTTTCGCCTTATGCTGTTTCTAGGATCGTTTAAATTCTTCCCTCCTCACTTCGAAGCATTTAATGTGGTCTGCAAACTTGATCATCCATGTATATGGCATTACATCCGATTGAAGACGACTATTCAATTAAACGGTCTAATTACAACTATAGGGAATAACGAAGGAATTGCGACGCAATAACTTGACGAAGTCTTCGTAGTCATGATAAGCTGACACAAAGATTTTTTGAGACATTTATGTCTTTGCAGCTAAAGCTGAGACAATATAATCACTGTAGAAAATATTCAATGCTCTAGAAATGTTTTGATGACTAGGGCTTCTTAGCTTGAAAACCCATGATTAAAACTAATACTAAGATAGCCTTCTGGCACTTTCCTTGTTTAGCAGCATTGCAGTGAGAATTAATCAAGACCTTTGAATCGGTTGTGCGATCTTCAACCCTTTACACTTGCCTATCAACCTTCCTTTTTTCAAATTAAAAAGCAGCTATCGTTCTCTAGATGTGTGTTGTATGAATTTGAGTAATGATAGGTAGTATGCTAACAAAATATCTAAATTTTGACGGGTCATGGACACATAAAAAAGTTATGGTGTGCATTATAGAAACAGAAAAAGTTGTGTGTGTGTTTTTTTCCTCCATGTAGCCCTAGTTTTTTAACGAATGTGATAAATCAAAATTATTATGAATCTGTTAGTGTACTTCAGGAGATATGATTCAAATTTAATATCTAAGCGTTACTTAGGTGAGTCGTTACTTATTTCATAAATATTATGAATAAAGGTTTTGAAACAGCATTGATGTATATTTCCTTGCCTCTTTCGATGTTCACGGCATCTCGTGCTTCGTGTGGAAAGCTGTGCTCTCCTGACGTTTGCGTTATCGGAAACTCCTATTTTTTTCGCAAATAGGAGGAACGCACAGCGCGATCACATGGGAAATCACATGCATCAAAGGTCAATAAAAATTCAACCATTCCGAATGGTCAGAGTTAAAATCCCTCAGTGTGCAGTTTAAAAAAAATTTATATATGTTTACTTTTTGCACAGGCTAACAAACTTTGAAATATATGCGTTTTTTCATACGTGTACTCAATAACGTCACTAGTAAATACTTGGTTCCCGCCTTTTCACTTCTACGCCGTTACTAAATTCGGCTGATATCCGTGAATTCAGTAAGCGCTCTTCTACCACCCTCAAATTCACTCTTCTCGCAAAGCGCCTGCTTCCAAGCACATGTTCATCTTCTGTTTGCGATGTGCTTAATTTTTATTTATTAAAATCATCGTTCTTGAAGTAATTTTGTTTGTTTCTACGCAATCTAAAATATACGTCGGAATTCCTTTCTGAATCGGGATCAAGACAGGCCGGGTATGACAAAGTCAGCCGTGCAGCGAATTAAAAAGTGTTTGTCTGACATAGTGAAGTGTGAAAATGGCATTCCTCTTGGTCCGTAACATTTACACGTAGAGATTCCTCCTAACCGAGAGGGAGTAGTCTTTAACAGATGCAGCAGGCATTCCACAACACATGTAAGTCACTTTCCAAACTGATTTATCTGTCAAGCTTATGACTCCAAGAGGAAGAGATTCTATTTCTAAAATAGGTAAGCTTTTATTGCATTCAAATTTTCTTAGTCTTACTCAAATGTGTGTAACAATTGCATGATCTATGAAGCTCGAATTAAGGTCTACGTAGTCCCTGAAAAGGTGCTCTGTAAATTCGAGAATGCGGCCGGAAATAAGCTCATTGGATTAGGAAGAGGGAGCTATGGTACTATATGCGTGTTTATAACGCCATAAAAGACATTTCCCCACGCCTTGGCTTTCGTCCAATTTTTTACTTATTTATTTATTTTTTGCATGGCGAAAGCTCTTATGAGCGAATAGTACATGAATTCTCTGGCAGATAGCTGGAGGGAATTGCAAGAAAGGTTTCCAATCATCATTGCATTGATTCACGCTTACAGATGTAACCCCATCGGTTTTAATGGGATGTCCTTTAGATATTAGAGTAAGCTTGAACGAAAATTCGAAAGCCTTAGCGAATTGAAGTACACCCGTTGCACTTGACAACAGCAACTTGGCACCGCATATTATAGTTTCTCTTCGAGCTGTCAGTCTACCACACTTCTTCAATGGTACTACGCTCGTTACGTACATTGCGGAAGATGCAAGTGGAAACAGAAGGGCGTGTTCATTTTGAGTCATTTTAGAAAACAAGTTTGCTGCGTGGTAAATTTGAGTTTGTGAGCTGTATTTTTAAAGGACAAAGGCAGCTGTATCATTTCCTTTTGAATGACGCCTCATACCAATTTGGTACAATTTGGTAAAAATTAGTTGATAGTTTCTGGATATGTTAAGTTGAAATGACATTTGATGTAGTTTTACTAGGGAATCATGATGCTTTACTTCATAGAAACTAATTTTTCATGATTTTACCGAACCGTACCCCAACCCACCCCTTCCCCAGCCAAAATGATTTAGTCCACTAGAAGGGATGCCACAAAACATGGGTCTGAAAGAGGTCAAAAAATCCAGTCTTATAACAACTCAAATAAGGTGTCCATTTTAAGCAAAAAGCAAATCCACCATAACTGATAAGTCAAAAGCCTGCCCTCCTCTCCCCCTGAGCTTTCCACGCTGAGCTATTTGTAATCTATTCTTGGATAGGTTGATGGCTGGGCTGCATGCGAGCACTCGCCTTGACGTTAAGCCTCCTGCGAATTTGACTTGCTCAGCAACAATCATGCATCTATATCTTGGTTTCGATAAATAATCAATCAAACAAACTTTCTTAGGTCACCTTTGGTGTCCTTGGCACAGGGGTAAAGGCAAACAGAGTCCACTTAAGGCCACGGATCACCTCTTAAGAGTGTATAAGAATATTTACAGATCCAACGGAACATAACTCTCACAGCTCTAGATGTGCAAGGTTGCGCTAAATGTTTGCCTTATAATATACATCGGGGATTAGATCAACTCCGGCATTTTTCAAAAGAAATATATGATTTCCTGTCAGAAACACTTTCACTTTCGGGAGAACAGCCGTGGCCGACGTAGATCCCAAAAAAGAAGAATAAGTGTTCGTCGTTGATGGCACTTTGAAATATCAATATGCTACACAAAAATGCGTTACAAGTCTAAGCAAAACATACGACTCAGGTCTGACAGTGAGTGGAATTTTTCGTTTTCGCAAATTAAAGGCTACCTTACTTCCACCGTGGTGACTTTGGACTTGGAGAAAAATCTTTGCCCTGATGAGATGAAGGAGTTAGTTGAACAAGGAATAAATAATTTTACTCCCCGATTGAAAATCTCGGTTAGCTTAGTAAAAAGAAAAAAGAATTCGAAAAACAAAAACATAGAGAAGGCAAAGAAGTAGTTATAAACTTTCACTCATCCTGACAACCAAAACGAGTGCCGGCTGCACTCGAACGAAACCCCTTATGCTGAGTAGGCGGGACGTTTTGGTAATGAGAGACTGAATTAGGGGCGTAACACAACCCTGCATAGCGGCTACTGTCACGCTTCTGTAATCCTGCGGACTTCAGGCTGACATATGTGTTTATTCCGTCTGTTATTTCATCGTATATTGGATCTTGTTCCCTATCGCTCTGTGGCTTACAGTGTTTTTCTTCCAAGGGATTTTCACTACAGGCTTGGTTGTTATGTGACAGGGCTGATACTTTGTTGTCTGGCCGCTAATTATGATTGTGATTTATCGATACTGGTTTGGCGATACAACAGGATTGGCGTGGCTTGAAAAGAAATTGTACCACTTTCATGCAAAAAGTACTTCTAACTCTTCAAAAGGCATTTAGTTTTTCTTCCCTTTACCAAACCGTTTAGAAACGATACAACACAGATCTGGGCACGTGCTGAGCCATGAAAGTGAGCCAGGAATGTGGGGAACGCTCCTAACGGTTCCGGGTCTCAACTTGTAACTGTGTGCATCTTGTCTAAATTGCAATCCTTAGTTTCATTAAGGTTTGTTAAAAATTGACCAAAAGATGCAATTCATAAGATGATAAAGAAAGTTCGAACGTGTAACCGTGCCAAGAATAGTTATATGTTAGATCTTCCAAACAAATGAAAATCATTGGTAGAATTTTAATTTTTTGGAATATAACTTAGTCCAAGTGAACGGAATGAGGTTCCCAAACTTAAAAGCCTTTGTCTTTCCGCTTCCTTCACGATTCAGGAACCGACCTCCCCAAAAGACCAATTAGGAAAGGGCATTATAGAAGACGAAAATAAACAGGATATTAAATCTTTTATTGACTTACTAACCTGTACCAGGCAATGATGATAAGTAGAAGCAACACAGCCACCCCTGCTGATGCAATGATGTAGTAGATGTAGGCGTTATCATCTGCTTCGACTTTCTTTTTGGTGGAAATATTTTTTTCTGTGTGACGAATGAAATACATTTTTTTAATTAGAGTTTAACACATAGCGGAGTTGAATTATATTTATCGAGCCGCGCGGCAAATCGAAACGAGGGACCTAGACATACGATAAATAGTAGTGTGGAAAGCCTCTAGCATGTTTTGTGTTATGGATCGATTGCCGATATATTGTTTTCTACGGGAACAATATTTCCAGATCCCGATGAATGAATAATTTTTGTTCAGGCAGCATATTTCGTTAATAATGTAATCCAAGGAGTAGCCATGACTTTTGCACGTTGTTCCTATCACAAAGCATACTCAATAGTTTGAAGACTAGACAGCATATCTATGTTAAGATCTACCTTTTGCCCAAGTTTTATTTCCCTTCTACTCTCTCAACCTTACTTTTACCTTTGTAGCTTTCTTTCCTAGACGTAGCTCCAGCCCGTTTTTATTTTTCCTTCCATGCGTGTTTTACTGTTTGCCTGTCCTTCCTTGTCCTGGTAACTTCCTTTCTCACACAGATTATTACGGAGACTGTCATCATCTCTGAATTATCCTTCTGAACAAGCCACTACTGGAAGTAGCAAAGATGCATTTATGTTTTAAATCTTTCTGTGCCAGGCCTTTTTAGTTTCTAGTGACATCGAATGTTAAATATGAATTCTCAAAGTCTTTGCTTGGTTACAAGACCTTTCAAATATGTCTACTTATAAGGAGGGTTTCAAATTGAT